GTGGTGACAAGAGACCCACCTAACATGGGTTCATAAATATACATAAAATGTAAAACATGTGATATTCGAACACGAAAAGAACATTTACTTCTCGACATATTCTCCACCAACATTCGTGCACTTGTCCCATAGCTTTACCAGTTCGTAGAAACCCGCAGCATAGGAGCCTTATGACTGTTGTCTACGCCACTTCCCCACCTCCTTTTCAAACCTCTACGTCAACAGCTAAACGTTTGCCGCCCAGTTGTGAACCGCTTTACTCTACAAGCACTTCCCACCGTAAACAGGAAACATTTCTTCATGAATATCCTTTGCAGTGAGTACTTTTTCCAACAAAAAACGCACAACAGAACGCTGCTCTTCGGTAGTATACACTCAAGTGCGATCGCCAATTTGACTACTAAAACCAGCCTCTGACCATGCGCATGCGCATCTGCTACCTAGGCTGTCACGAAGCTGGACTGTGCTGTGACCTAGTGATACACGTAGATACACGTACATATTTCGATCCAGCTGGATCATCATCAGGCAACTTTCATTAAATGTACTACTAGTTATTGAATTCTCTTCCTAATGTGATTCCATATTAATGATAATATAAATTTCCTTAGAATTCCAGAGTTTCTGTATATTTTCGAATATTATTCTTAAAATGTAAAGCGTTATAACTCAGTTAAAAGTTAAAAAGTTTAATAATTAAAAATTAAAAATTTCCCTTCTATTTTAGCATGCAGTGCAAGACTATGGTGGTGTAGCGTAGAGTAGAGGGGATTTTCTGGGAAATGTGCTTTGTTTTTTGTTTTTTGTTTTTTTTTTTAATTCTTTGTGCACATATTACGTCGCGGTTTTCCGCATGTAAATGATGTTATGTTCTGTTTTCCTTTTGAGAGACGGTGGTAAATTCGTTCTGCCTGCTGTATCGTGTCCTGTACAGGGATGCCATGTCTTATTATTAAATCTCCTTTCTCCCATGTCTTTCTCCTTTCGTGTTCTCCTGTACCGTTTACTCTTATGTATCTCCCTCACCTCTTGCTCAAACAGTCAAAGAAAAAGTACACCTTTCTTTAAGAAGCTTAATGTTTAGCATACAGAATTGCAGCTGCAATTCTTACTTCACACATTTATATGCGGTCTGTTTGAAAGCTCTTTCAATAGCTGGGACCCCAAGACTTGTAGAACGTGGCGCTCTTTGCCTAATATGGGACACAGTTTCTACTTCTTTCTGGACAGACAGGAAATCACAGAGTTGGATCTCCAGACGGGGATCTCCGAACAAGCGACAAGAATGCAACCCGTACGACGGCTGCCGGTGCTCATTTCATCTCTCAGAGGATACGAAGCTCTACCGTGACTAAAGTTCTTCATGGTTTTCCTCGGTCCCTCTAGACAAACCATGGAATGCTGACTTGTGAACCTAGTTCCACGTTTTTTTTCCGTTCCTGAACGTACGAGATGTAGTTCAATAAACAAATGAGGGTCGGGAAATACTTCTGGCAGTTGGGCGCGGACTTCTGAAGCAGCAAGCCCGGGTTCAATCCCGGATGACTTCATGCAAGATTCGTAGCAGACGAAGCAACACTGGAATTAGTTGTTCTCCAATTTTTTCGATTTTTCCCTGCTAATCATCACTTCCCCACTGCTCCATACTCATTAAGTCCAGTGATGTGTGTGACACCCCTAACAAGTGATAATGTCATCACTTACTCGGGATTTAAGTTGGAGAGGGGGTTGTCTCAAATCCAGAACTTGGCCGGTTACAGAGCGAGGAAGCGCTTTTTTAACGGTAAATAAAACGGTAAAGTTATCCCTGTAACAGGCCGTAGAGGCCAATAGATCTGTGAGACATCGAGGTTCTAGAAAATCGGCTCACAGATGGCTGTGAGGTCGTCAACCTTACGCGCCGGCCACCCTTTACCCCTCAGGAAGATTCCTGGTACTCATTTCTGTTAGAGGCATAGTAGATCCAAAGGCCATAGTGCTCCTAGAAGGATTAGGTAAATTGAAAAATCCAGTGGCCTCATCAGGAATCGAACCTGCAACCTGCAACCTATGCTTGGAGCATAGTGCCTCAAGCAACGAGGCTACCGATTGTTCCGTATTTTTTTTAATAAACAGACGAAAACATCTTGTGGTGAAATCATAAGGATCAATGTTCAGTGTCACAATCCTCATCACATCTGGCAGACAGGAGTTTGGATTACTTGTTGACCCGTCCCGACCTCACACGTCCATCCACTGCTTAATGACGTTCTCAGCAGCTGGGCTATCTAGCGCCGAATGGTGGAATGGCCGATGAATTGACGAATTGCAAACGATCAGGAATGAATCAGCTTTGGACTGATCAAGGTACTGTCTTGGCATCTGCCTGGTGGGACTGAGGAAATCTGGTGTGCTGGCAGAGATTCGAACCGAGTTCCTCCCGGACGAGAGTAAAAAGCATTACCGCTGCTTCAACCTGTTCTTTGATCCATGCGGTTTAAAATTTTTAGTAGTCTCGAAGTCTGTTTCTTGGCATTCTGTCGGCACGACGAATCTGATTTCATGTTTCCAAATTCTGTCCAACGCGAGCTGGGATTTTTAATTATTTTAATACGTCCTCGATTCTCTAAGAGTCAATGTGAGCGTATTTCGTTGCTGTCACCACGCACACGTTACATGCAACTATGTAATACAAGGATATTCTAAATTACTGTCGGTGTCTCTTTATGTTTAAAAACACAATGTTTCGGAGATTGAATTCTGTCGCCAACTTCTGGGAAAACCTCCTCAGTTATGCCCAATCAATAGATCTAGTCCCTATCTCCGGGCAGGACGATGGATATTATCCAGAACTTCATGGAGTTGAGTCCTTCTTCAGACGTCGCCACTTTCTGAGTTATTCAAGGATTTCCCAACATTTTATGGAACCTAGAGCTTCATTACTCTCCTTGTAACAGTCCGCCACTGGTCCCTATCCTAAGCCAGATCAATTCAATATATACCACCCTATCGTGTTTCTCTGAGATCCATTTTAATACAATACTTCCACCTACGTTTAGATCTTCGCGGTAGTCTCTTTCCTCTAATTTCCTTCAAACATCCTATATGCATTCTTTTTCACCATGCATGCTACATGCCCTGCCTTTCTCATCCTTATTGACTTGCTCATTCTAATTATATATGGCGAAAGAGAGGAAGTTACGGAACCCTTCATCAGGCAATTACCTCCAGCCTCATGTCACTTCATCCCTCATAGGTCCAAATATTCTCCTCAGCACCCTGTTCTCAAACACCCTCAGTCTATGTTACTCCCTTAATGTCAGAGACCAAGTTTCACACTCAAATACGGGACAAACTTCAGTGCCGCTGGATCTAGCTCTGCATGCAGGGCTTAGCCGAAACGTCTGCGCAACTAAAAGACTGCAACTCTTTCACAACTCCTTCACCCTGAGTGAAAACATGACGAAAGTTTTGATGTTATTCTCTCCGGCTTCGTCTGGCGTAGTAGTTTCTTATGTAAAATCAACATCGTTTCGAAAATGGATTCTGATGCCTTTTTCAAGTGGACACAGTATGACGATATACCCACTCTGCTTAGCCCCTTGGTACAGCCAGATTAATACCCTAACGTTTATCGTCAATAATCGCGAAATCATGAAAATACCTGTCATATTGCATTAAAATTCTCCTCCCTCATAAACAGGGTTAAAAACGACAATAGTGCCAATATGTATGGCTACGCTGTGTGTGAAGCGCTACGCGAAAAAGCAGGAGCCCTCCCACTGCATGTAAACAAGACCGGTCACATTACACGGCTGGTCCACTGCCCGCAGGGTAATAAGGTAGCGGCCATATATCACACTTCAGTACGTCCTCCCAGCCACGAAAATTAGGAAATATTGCCCGAGCATCGTCCAGAGATTTATATAGATGTGTGGTACCGTGGAAGGCAATGAATTTTTTATCGCACGAGAAAAAAAGCAAACTGCTCACGGGTTCCTGGAGACATTACCTGCCTGACTGCCTGATCTCCCAGTATTCTCTGGAAATATAAACATATCACGACGATGTGAGCCACAATTGGGAATGGTCAACCGCTGCCGTCACCTATCTAAAAAATTGTCGTTATTTTGTGTCTTTGCTTATTTGTGCCCTTTATTTAAAGAAGTTTATCAAATCTATGGTTTACAGAGAGTTAGATGGATGAGTAGAGCTTAGCGTGGAATGAATGCGGCGCGAAACGGCCACGAATCATATAAGTAACGTTACAACATTTACTAGATTGACTGAAGAAAAACCGCAAAGGAACTAACGTACTCGACCCTCATACTAAACACCGAACTCGGAATTATCTACATGGCGTTCAGTCTCGGCAGACCGTAATATTATTAGTCCTCCAAAGACGAATATAGTGGGTTCCTGCACTACGCTGATATATAGAGTGTTACAAGAGGAAAGGTCAGTATTCTGGGAGGTCGTAGTATCGGTGATTCTAAGCAGAAATATGTATATGTACGTGTGTCCTATTCCGAACGTTTTCCGAGATAGAGCTATTTCACTGTACAGTTCCAAAACTGTTGACAAGAAAGAGATATTACATACTATTTCTAATACCGGTATATATTGTTCAAGAGAAAAATTTGGTACGGTCTATCTTGTGTAATACATTTTCGAAAATTCCACCGTCAACATCAATGCACTTCGCAACTCGTGGAAGGACATGGCGTGTTGCTCGTCTGTACAGTGTACAGTGAAATCTCGGAAAACTTCCGGAATAGGACACATGTATATATACACTATTTGCTTCGAATGACCGATACTATGACCTCCCAGATCACTGTCTTTCCTTCCTGGGACATCCTGTATATCTGACTACAAAGTGTCACATTTCAGATGACTATAATCTCAATATTCAGTGCCGTAAGAATGTGATGACTCATCGCACAGCGGTAACAAGCATTCCTGCTCATCTCATACATAGGTGAAATAGAATACATTAACTTGAACCACTCCACACTCACCTCAGTTTAACCCCGCTTAGACCGTAGAGTGGCACCGCAGATCCACTTTCCTGCGTCTCAAGGAGTTTATCCTGGAGGTCAATGCTGTGATGCATGTTGAAGATTCGTCCTGGCATTGGTTATATAAATTGTAAAGCTGGAAAATGTTGCTAACGGTCTCCACACACACACTGCACCTAGGCCTGCGACATTCACGTCTGCATCCCTTGCGTACTGACACACGCAGCCTGCTCGAGTTCTTGTGCTCTCAGCACACAAAGAGGCTCTCATCCAAACAGTTGTCTTCACCAGACACAAAATTCAGTGAAAATGTTCTGCTTATATTTATAGCCCGAATCAAAACGTCACATCACTTTCGAAATTGTACACGTTAAACTTTATAAATTAAATATATATATTCACTTTATAGAAGCCATCTTTAACCGTTACACCTCTTAATATATAGTAGAAGTCGATCAAGTGTAATTAGTTTAATACGAGGAATTAAAATTTTTGTCTTTACATTTTCGGATATTATTGGCCATAATCATTATGTATATATTCTTAATATTTACAGTATTTTTGACTGAGATAACTACATATCTATCTATGACTCTATAGTCCTTTGTTGGACCTTGGTCGCTTTTTCAGTTTCTTAATCCTATATACAGTAGGAAGGACTCCTTGGACGGGGGATCAGCCTGACAAAAGGCCGCTACTTAAAGACAGAATAAATAGAAGTAGACATCCAGGCCTTGAGTGGGATTCGAACCCACGATCCCAGCGTTCGAGTGAGTGAAGACTGTTCATACCTTAGACAGCGCGGCCACTGTGATCGGCTACTGAGTTGGCTATCAAGTCTTAATTTCTGTAACTACTGAAAGTCCCTCTACAATACTATAGCAACAACTTAACCTCAACAACATACGTGGTAGTCATTAAGTTCGTGGAATGTGGTTTTATCACATCATATTACAAGGTATTCACATACACTTACGCAGATCCACATCGGCCCTCAAAATAGTTGCCGTTGGCCGCTATGCAAGTCTGCCAAGGTTGATATAGCTGTCGAAAACATTGCTGAAACATATTGCCAGTAAATTCCCGTACGACGCTTTGCGGCCATTCCACGAACTTATGGACTGTGGTGGTATGTAAACTTATTCCGTCGCGCTGTTATCTACACCCTCTGATGATGGCCAATAGCGAACGAAACATGTATAGGCAAAATTTTTACTTACTGATATTAAATTCTGTACACTTGATTGAATTGATATTTCGGTACAATATTAACCTTCATACATCAGAGATGGCGGACCATGCTTGCGTAGGCTGTAACGTTGATGTGATTAACCCCAGGGCACTTGAGTCAAATGTACGTACACTGCTTTTAGTAGTAGCGGTTATACACATGTCAATACAACAACACGACAGGAAATTAATTTCGTATTTTGTAACCCTCCGTGCAGCAACACACAACTGATACAGCTGAGCAAAAACACTGACGTCATTCACAACACAAATCACGCTGATTCCTACCGCTGTCCAGCGTGTATCTTTCTCGCTAGTTACGAGACGTAGCTCGTGAAAGCGAGAAGTATAAAGAACTTCTTGGTCAAACGTTAAAACATATTCTATGATTGTTATGTGGTACGCTCTGTTTAAATGAAACCGATAACTAAAGTCCTAGTTCTCATTGTCTCATACATTACCTAATCAGAAAGATCTAAAAAAAAAAGGATGCTTTTTTGCCTTTGCTTCTCAACTCTTATTTATAATATGCAATTAAGATGGTCCGAGAAAGCCAGGAGGGATTGAAATTGAACAAGACACGTCTGCTTCTGGTCAATGGTGACAATGATAATGCAATGGGGTAGAATATAAGTACCACAAAGAAAAAACAAAATTCCCTCAGTCGGTACTGAGCAGGTTAGTCTAAACCGTCTAAACAGGACTTGAGGTTCTCACAGCGGTGGATACGAAGAGCTCCAGCTTTTGAAGTAAAAGGCAGTTCGTTGAAGCGGGTAGCTGCCTTCTATACGCTGGTTTCTTATTGGCTTATTCTTAGACGCTGAAGATGGAGGCAACATGTTCCTCTGAAGCTTCCACTGACCTTCAACGGACTATATGGCGTTATATTCCAAGAAAATAACTTTTCAAGTTGTCTAAAAGTTCCCTGTATGCGTGTAAAATATGATTTCTGTCATTAAGTGAAGAACAGGCTGATGTATTCGAGAATAGAGTGCTGGCGCGAGTAACAGGAGGATGAAGAAAACTGCATAATGAGGAGCTTCATAATTTTCACTCGCCGAATATTATTAAGGGAGTTAAAGCAAGAGGGGGTTGTAAGATGGGCAGGAAATGTAGCCAGCATGGGAGAGATGAGAATTGCACATGCAAGTTTAGTGGGAAAACCTAAGAAGAAAATACGGCTTGAAAAGTCTAGGTATGGATGAGGGGATGAATTAAAGAAAGTGTGTCGGCGGGTATGAACTTGATTCATCTGACTCGGAATAGGGACTTTTTTTTATAATGTTAAAGGAGGCGATACGTGTAGAAACCACTATACCTTATATATACTTTAAATGAGTAATAATTAAGAACACATTATGTGTTACCTTAAAACATAGAATGACACTTTGTTTGAATAAGTCGGTAAAGACGGCGATAGTTTAATTCTGTTACTGAGACACTCGTCCGAATTAATATAGGATGTCCGGATGAAAGGTATTCAAAATAAAAAAATTTATATCAACTGCCATACAAGTATCCGGTTTATGTCATCGGAAACACCTGTAAGCTTTTTTTTTCATGCCCGGTTTATGCGCATGCGCCGCCTCATTTCTGCCACCATGTTAGGATCGCTTGGACAGAGTGATGTTTGGGAGACAGATCGGCATAAGTGGATCAATCGCTTGGCCTCCTACGTCGCCAGATTTAACCCCACTGAATTTTTTCTTGTGAGGTTATGTGAAGAACATTGTCTGCCAGGCTAAGATCAACGACATGCAACACCTGAAAGTCCGCATAAGGGACTCTGTGGCTATGGTAACACCAAACATGCTGGATCGTCTGGATATTTGTCATACCACCAAGGGAGCCAACGTTGAAATTTATTGATGGTTTCCCTCTGTAGTGGTGTAGCCCATAAATGTATGTAATAAATGCTTTCGAGATGTAATTATTTTATTTTGGATACCTTTCATCCGGACATCCTGTATCACGAGAGAAATTATATAATGGCATCCAGATTTGCTTACACGTGTAATGAAATTGAGGAAATTAATGCAACGTCTTTTACTACCATTACATATTTGATTGACACGTAAAAATATGTGGGGGAAGTTGGATTTGAGGTTCTCAAGGCGGAAACTATGAAAAATACTGTCGTGAAAGATTACCTCGTGTCTCAGTACTTCTATTCGGTAAGAGAACAGGCCCATGCACAGCTGAATTTTTTTAATCACTCTAAATGTATATCAAGAAAGTAATTCTTTGACAGAATTACTGTGCTCAGCTTAATACAACATCTTTATAAAGTAAGATATTCTCCGTCTTTGGCCTAGTCTTATTCCAATTCCAATTTAGCTTACTTCAGTGGCGTGGTTAACGTAAACATTCCCTCACAGGTTCCGCATTCGCTAGCCAAAAACATGGCTTCTTGTTAATTCCAGCGAGGGAGACGTGACATCCGGTCACAGATAAGAGATGATTAAGAACTGTCACTTTGAGGAATTACGAAACACAATTTACGACATGAAATACCGGCCTTTCACAGGGCGAAAGGGAAGGAGGTGGGAAACAAACATTTCTTCTTTCTGTCATGACCTGCTTTGAATTCTTTGTCCTCAGCATCTGGAATGCGGATCAAATATGCTGGCTTATACAAAATTCGTCTGGTCCGTTTATAAAACCGACAATGACACTATAAGCTCCATATGTGAAATGTGAAGGACAAATAGATGAATTTGTGCCACTATTCAAATAATTCTGTTTATACTAAATCCACTTCGAAGTAATCCATTGACCGAAAAACATTCGTGACCCCACTTTTCACCCCTATCATCTGTTTTACTCGTAGCAAACTGCCACAACATTAGTGTAATTAAGCCCACTGCCCTATGTGGTCCATAGATCTGGTAAGTCTCCTTTTCCACGAATGTCTTTACCATGTCACAGTGAACCGCTGATTTAAATGGACCTGTTTCCACAGAGCCATACGAATGATCAATGATTCATTAAGACGCGTCACAAATGCTCATGAAAAACGAGCCTGATTATTAGACTGACTCTATTTGCATTGGTTTTGAACTGACCCATTTGTATTATTCTTTATTAACGTTTGCTTTATCTTCTCAATCGTTCAAAAATTTCTATCGAGTATTGTACGGAAGAACGGTGCTTTATCATTGAATAAAAGTTGTTCTCGTTTAAATAGCTCTATAATTTCAAATTTCGCACTCAGTGGACTCCAAAGGGTTCTGACGATGGTATGTAATATTCAGAATTACTGGGTTTTTGAACTTCGTCCATCGTCCGGTATTCTTGAAACTATAAAACACAACGTTTCGGAAAATGGATCTGTTTCCGTCCCCAGGTGAGGGGGGAAACACCTACATTGTTGGGTCCCTTAGAAAGAAATAACCTGATCCAGTGATTGAGGTTAACCTTTTCCAAAGGACTAAACAGAGTAGGTGCCTCCTCCCCCCTCATCTGAGGAGTGAAATATATTCAACTTCCGAAACGTTGTGTTTTCAAATTTCTAGAATACCGGATGATGAAAAAAAGTCCAAAACCCAGTAATTCTGAGTACTGAGTAGTGGATACGTTCATATATATTGCACACAAAGAAAAAATAAAGGACAGAAAATAAACTGTGGGTGTTGCAAAATCTTTGGCTGTCATTTTTATGATCAACGAGCCATGTTTAATAAAACACAGCTTATTTCGTACATGTTGTCGAGAAATTTCATTACATTTCTGTGCTGTGCAGCTTCTGAGTTGGGAACTCGTAATGACCTTTCTCGGAAATACGAAATGTAATGACATGTAACCGAGTGTCTAACCGTCCTTTCTCTTCAAGTAAAACAAGCATATTTCTAAATGCATCCTTCTAGATTTTAAAAACTTAAGCACTGTGTCTGATAGACCGTACGCTTCGTCGCCGCTAAGATCAGATTCCTCTTATAACCCTTGAAGTAACTGCTTCAAATAAGGCCGCGCCATAGCTCAAGCGGTTAGCCGCTGGCTTCCCACCGCGGCGGCCCAGGTTCGATCCCGGGTCTGGTCAAGTGGGATTTGTGGTGAACAAAATGGCGCTGGGGCGGGTTTTCTCCGAGTATTTCGGTTTCCCCTGCCAATCTTCATTCCACCAAATTCTTCATTATCATAATCACCGGGGGCAGGCTACACTAGGCCAATCAGTGGCCGCCGTGCCGAGTGGACC